TGCACTGAAGGAGACTGTGCGGGGCGCGAGGCGGTGAGGCGGCGCTGGTGAGCCTGGTGCGGGTGTGTGCACAGCTTGTGGAGGTGGTGGCGTAGTGATGTGTTCACACGCGCCGGCCCGTCCCTCGCTTCCCCGCCCACCGTGGCCGCGGAGGAAGGCGACAGCCTCACCTCTGCCCCACCCCTCCCTTTCCCTCCACTTTGGGAGGTCCCCTTCCCTTCCTGCCCCCGCCTGCAGTGGTCCAGATCGAGGACAGCGAGTTCCTGGGGGCGGCCCCGGGCGGTACCAGGCGCGTGCGCATCAACAAGGCGGTACCGCCGGGCTGCGACGTGCGGCAGGTGGGCCTGTCTGTCTGTGGGGCGTGCCCTTATGGGTAGCGGTGGTGGTGGTGGTGGTGCAGTGTGTGTGGTTGTGGCATGGGTGGATGTGGTGAGCGGGTGGGGGAGGGGGCGGGAAGGAGAATGGCTTGCCCGGGGGCGTGGGTACACGAGCACCGCATCATTAGATCCAGCCGCCTGGGAGGCGCGGCCTCGGAAGGGCTGGCCAAGAGCTCGGCTGCCGCTGCCGCCGCGCAGGTGGGCAGCGACATGGCGGCGGGGGAGGTGGTGCTGTCGGCGGGGCACCACATCGGCGCGGCAGAGGTGGGCATCCTGGCAACCGTGGGCGCCACCAAGGTCACGTGAGTGCCCTGCTCTGCCTTTCCTTGCTTCGCCTGGCCTCTTCTTGCCTGGCCTCGCCCTTGCCTCGCCCTGCCTCGTTCTGCCTTGCCTTGCCGCCTCCAGCCCGCCGCCAGTTCTTGATGCCTGGGAGCCACGTGAGGCATCCCTCCGCTGGCACAGGCTGTGGCAGATGCCCCTGGAGCGCTTGCCCCTGCCCCTTGCTCTGGGCGTCTCTCAACCACCCCACCCGCCACCCACCACCCGCCACCCTCCCTCCCTGCAGCGTGCACCGCAAGCCTCATGTGGCGGTGCTGTCCACCGGGGACGAGGTGTGCGAACCCGCCGCGCCGGAGCTGCAGCCGGGGCAGATCAGGTGAGGGGGCGGCGAGGGGGCGGCGGCCCGGCTGGCCGGCGGCAGCTGCTGGCGGCTGCTGCTGGTCGTGCGTGCTGGTGGCTGCTGCTGTTGAGGCTGGTGATACTGCGCCAGGGGCTGGCACCCGACGCACGGCGTCCACCTAAGCAGTGCCTGGCTGGTTGCGCCTGAGCCTCCCTCCCTTCCAGCCCCACCTCCCATCGCCCGCACCTCGAGTCTCCCCTCCCTTCCAGCGCCGCCTCCCGCACGCCCCCCCTCCCACCCACCCCCTCTCTCTCCTCCCTCACCCGCAGGGACGCCAACCGCGCCATGCTGCTGGCGGCGGCGGCGGGCACGGGGGCGCGCGCCACAGACCTGGGCATCGCCCGCGACACCGCAGCCAATGTGGAGGCGGCACTGGATAGGGCGGTGGCTGAGGGCGCCGACATCCTCATCACCACGGGTGAGCCGTGCAGGCCGGGCCGGGCGGCTGCCAGGTGGCGTGGGGCTGGGCAGCTGCTACCTGTGGGTTTGCCGCCTGTGGGGCAGGGAGGCAAGGCTGGGGGCAGCGCGGCGGGGCTTGCGCGGTCCAGCCGTGGCGCGGTTAGGCGCCGCTTGCTTGCCCCGCCACCCTGCTGGCCTGGCTGCCGCGTGCTCTCCCCACCACGCTACACACTCCCACACCCATGCTCCCATACCCGCTCTCAACGCCCCCCAACCGCCCACCCCACTTCACACGCCAGGCGGTGTGTCCATGGGCGACAAGGACTTCATCAAGCCGCTGCTGGAGCGCAGGGGCACCGTCCACTTTGGCAAGGTGGGGTGTGGGTGGGGTGGGGTGGGTGGGGTGGGTGTGGGCTGGGAGCAGGAAGAGGGGCAGGTGGTGGGGTGCGTTGCGTTGCCAGGGTGGGGAGCAGCTGGCAGGGTGGAGCAGGTGGGGGGCGTGGGGGCGATGCAGTGCTTGTATGCTGGAGCGTGGATGCAGCACAGCCGCCACGCCTGCCATGCCTGCGCCTGCCGCCTTCCTGCCTGCCAGGCCTGCCCCCACCCGCCTGCCTGCTGCGCCACTCTCCTGCTCCTGCCCTCCGCTGCCTGCCTGCCTGCTTGCCTGACCGCAGGTCAAGATGAAGCCGGGCAAGCCGCTGACGTTTGCCAAGGTGCCGGTGCCGGAGCAGGGGCGCAGCCTGCTGGTGTTTGGGCTGCCGGGCAACCCAGTCAGCAGCCTGGTGACGTTCCACCTGGCCGTCGTGCCCTGCCTGCGCAAGATGGAGGGCTGGCAGGTGCGCCGCTGCCGAAGCTGCCCTCGCCTCGGGATCCTATTTTCTAGTTTTTGGGCCTTGCCTGAAAGCAGCTGCCTGCCTGATTGCCTCCCTTCCTGCCTGCACCTTCCCTCTCGCCCTGCCTCCCTGCCTGCCTGCTTCCCACCCACCCCCTTCCCGCCTGCGTGTGCTGCGCAGGAGCCTCGGCTGCGGCGCCTGCACGTGCGCACCGCCATGCCCATCAAAATGGACCCAGAGCGGCCGGAGTACCACCGTGCGGTGGCGCACTGGGCGCGCCCTGGTGAGCCGGCAGGGCGGTGCAGGCTGCGGGGAGGCTGAGGGGTGGCGATGCTGCGGGGTGGGGTGAAGGGAGGCAGCCACTCGGGGGAGGTGGAGACGCACGCTCCTGGTGTGCGGCAGCGGCTGGCCAGCTGAAGTGCGAGCCGAGCCGCGCCTGCCAGGGTGCCGCGTCCCTCGCCCATGCCCTTGCCCTGCCGCCGCCCTGTCCCACCGACCCGCCCTGTCCCACCGACCCGCTCTGCCTGCTGTGCAGCGGGCGCGGAGCCGGGCGTGTGCTGCGGCGAGCTGGTGGCGGCCAGCACGGGCGGCCAGATCAGCAGCCGCCTGCTGTCGCTGCGCTCCGCCAACGTGCTTCTGGAGATCCCGCAGGCGAGCCGGGTGGGGAGGGGGTGCTGCAGCGTTGTGCGCTGCTTCCTGACCGCCCTCTCTCCGCCGCCAGGTATCCGCTCGCGGCTGGCCGGCCGGCCCGCTGATGGCCCCCTGTCCGCATGCTGTTGTCACCCCCGTGTGTCATTCTTCTGCTTCTTGTGCCTGCTGCCTGGCTCCCTGCCTGCAGGCCAGCGGCGTGCTGCCGGCCGGTACCATGGTGTCTGCTCTGGTGCTGGGAGACCTCGGTGCCATGCCTGTGCCAGAGGTGCCCGCCCCGACGGTGCTGCCCTGAGGCTCGCGGCCGAGCGCCCGGCTGAGCGACGTGACGCGACGCGCCAGCGGCGGCGCCAGGCAGGAGGCGCGGAACGCTGGCAGCTGAGGAGCGACGCGCAGCGATCATTGCGGCTGGTGTCTGCTGTAGGGTACTTCTTTCCGACAATACCGGTTTGCACTTCAAACTACGTGCACTTCAAAGTATGTATTGTACACCTTGCAATGACACTAGAAGCTGTGGCTGGAGGCCCTCCTTGCCGCCGCCTGCTGCTTGTGCTCTACAGCCGTGCATGACCAGCGCTTGCGTAGTAGGTGCTTAAACTTGCATTGCTTGCTCAAGTGAGGCAGTGCAACAGGCATGTGGGGAGCCAGAGGTGATCTGTGTCGAGCGCTTGGCTGGTTTGCGGGGCGGGCGCGGCGGAATTGCGGCGGCGCCGGGATGAATTGTGTTTAGTAGAACCGATGGGGAGGATCAAAAAGGGGCGTGCCGCCCAGAAAACTGATGCTGGCAGGGAGTAAGAGGCTGCTGCATATGAATGAGGAGTGCCGCGGTAGTAAAACAGCTGGGCGGATGGTGATCAAATGGGGGCTGCCGGCATCTGCAGGTTTCGAGGTTACTAGTAGCAGGGGAGGGCTGGAGGAACGGCGATGAAATGGCAGCAAGGCGCGGCAGGCCGGCAAGCAGTAAAACGTACAGTGAGCTTGCGGTCGTCTGGGGCGCGGCCAGGGCAGGGGGATTCGGGGGGCGATTCATGTCGGGAGTGGCGCACGGCGCGCGTGGCGGGCAGGGCCGCTCACGCGGCCTGCCACTGGCTGGGCGCCGCCGCAGCCGGCTGCTCCATAAGTTCCACAGCCTTGGTTAGGGCCTCCAGGGTGCCCAGCTTGGAGGCAGGCAGGTTGCCGGAGGCGGGCGGGGAGCTGTGGGCGGCCGGCAGCGGGCTGGAGGGCGGCAGCGGGGAGCTGGGGGCAGGCTGAGGGGGGCTGGAGGCTGCCGGGGCGCGCGAGGCGGCCTCCAGAGGGCTGCTGCTGGGGGCCTGGCCCGCGGCCGCCGCGCCCGGCGGCGTCGGCGCCAGGCGCGCCAGGTCTGCGCCCGTGGCCAGGCTGATCTCGGTGCCGCCGCCGTCGCCGTAGTGGCAGGTGACGGCCAGGCCGGTGCCGGCCCTGACGGCGACCGCCGCAGCGCCGGCGGGCACCTCCAGCTCGCGGTCGGGGCCCTCCTCGAAGAAGCACAGTCCGTCCTGGCGCACCACCGCGAGCTTGAAGGCGTGCGTGCCGGCCGGCAGGCGCAGCTGCGCCGCCCACGTGTCGCCGGCCTGCCACGCCAGGCGCGGCGCGGCGGCGGCGTCCCACGCGCCCAGCTCCGTGCAGCTGCCCACCACCGCCAGCTGCTCGCCGAATATCAGCTGGCAGCTGGGGACCACCACCGCCACGCGGAGCAGCGGCGGCGGGCCGGAGGGGCCCGCGGCAGAGGGCTTGCGCGCGACGGGCGAGGTTGAGGGCAACGGGCGGTAGGAGGGGCGGTTGGTCACGGCAGGCGGGCGGGTGGCCTGCGAGCAACCCAGGCCACGGAGGGGACAGTGAGCGGGCCGGCAGCAGCCCAGGACGAGGCGGAACAATCGCCATCGAGGAGGGAGGAGCGCCAGGGGCGCGCGCTCAACTAGCGGCGGCCTGCGGCGGCGGCGGCGCAAGTGGCAAGGCCGCACCTGCCGCCGCTCGGTGTAGCCGGTGTAGGTGGCCTGGACCGTCAAGGACAGCCTCCGCGCGGGTGCTGCAGCGGCAGGAGAGGGCAATGCGCGTGGTTGGAGCACAGCCTGGCGGCCTCCCCAGCGGGAGCAGCACTGGAGGGTGTCCCTGCGCTCACCTGCATGGTACATTGCACCCTCGCGGCGAATGTGGGCGTTAGCGCTGCAGAGCTGCAGGCGAGCTGCGGCAGCCATGGCCATGGTGTGGGTGGGTGTTTTGTTGGCGCTTGCTCAGGAGCGGCCCCGCCTGGTTGGTTGCGGGAGCAGGGGGTGATCCTCAGGGGTCTGGGAGGCACTGCAGCTAGGCGGGAAGGGCCGATGCGGCTTCAATTGGCCTTGATCGCCTCCCTGAGCCCGCCCGCGTGGCACACCGTTTCACCCACGGCGGCGGCGCATGTTTGCTTCCCCTCACTAGCTGCAGCATGGCTTTCCAGGGGTGTTTCATCCACATGTTTTCACATTTGGTGTATGTAAATAAAATCGTAATAGGGTAGGACATGTGCACATAGCAGTTCCGCCATCCGCTACTGCCCCAGCCCCGCCGCCGCCTCCTGCTCCGCCGCTCCCCGCAGCGCCAGTGGGCGCGCGTGCCGCTGCTGCTGAAGCTGCTGCCACCGCGCCTCCTTGTTTACGTGCTCCTTGTACGCCCTGCCACAGGCCAGGGGCGACATGGTGCAAGCGCCTCTCAGTGCAAGCAAACACTCCAGCACGTCGGCGGCCCCCCCGTCACCAGCCTCCACAGCCACCTGGATTCATTTTGCCGCGCTTCCTTGGATGCAACCACAGCCATCACTTCCAGGAGCATTGCATCATCTCCGGCAGCACCCTGCCCTCCCCACCTGAACGATTCGATTGCCTGGGGCGCCGTGGCCTTGTCGCGTGGTGCTGCCGAGTTGCAGTTGCGCCGCGTGTTGGGCCGGTTCCAGTCGCCCCGGCTCTGGTGCAGGCGCCGCGTGTGCTCCCTCATCGCCTCCAGCAGCGCCACCTGGTCGGGGTCGGACTTGTCGCAGCGGGCCTCAAAGTCTGCCAGAGCCTCATCCATGTCCAGCGGCGGCGCCGGGGCCTGATCGAGCGCCGGCGCGGGTGCGGGGTCCTCTATGGTCTCATCCATGCTTTCGGCGGCTCGGTGCAGTGAACAGAACACTGACAGACCGCGGGGTCAACTCTCCTAGCTCGGAGCTTTCTAGTCCAGCTCGGCCGGGCTCTGCCAGAGCCCAAACCGGCCTGCAGCGTGCTCCACGATCCATCCTGAGTGTCGTGATCACAATACACGGTGTCCAGATCCCTCTGGCCGGCCACATTGGTCTGTGGATCGAGGGTTTACTTCACCAGGACTCGAGAGCGGCAGCATGCCGGCCCCCTGGTGCGGCAAGGTGGGGGCAGGGGCCATCGTGGCCGCCACGCTCAACCCCTGCATCTTCAACACCGCCGCCTCGCTGCTGCTGGCGTTGGCGGCGGCGGCGGCGGCGCTCCTGCATGGCAGCGCGGCGCGCCGCCTGTCGGCCGCCGCCGCGGGGCGCCCCTACCTGCTGCCACGCCCCGGCGCCGCGGTGGCGCACGCCCAGGTGGCGGCGGCGGGTGTGCTGCTTGCGCTGCACGGCTTTGCGCTGGTGTGGGCCACCAGCCAGGTGCCGCAGCCGCCGTATGTCGTGTTCAGTGAGGCGTTGCTTCTCACCGCCTGGTCGATGTTCATGGTAGGTCAGCTGATCGATTGCTGTGGGTGGTGGATGTGGATTGGTGGCTGTGGGTCGGGGCTGGCAGGGACTCTGCGGCACGTGCACATGCATGCAGGGCGCAGCACGGTGCTGGCTGGTGCTGGAGCGCTGCGCGCCCCAGGCATGCCAGCATGCACGCCCCGCGCGCGTCCTGCCCCACGCCTTCCCGCCTGCCCACCCGCAGGGCCTGCTGTACTACTGCCGCCGCCTGGGCGTGATGCCGCGCCTGAAGGCGCTGCTGTGGGGCGCCGCCGTTCTGTACACGTTTGGGCTGTACAGCGAGGTACGGGCTGTGGGCTGTGGAGGGGCTGTGTGGATTGGCTGGGAGGATGGGAAATCGCCTGCCTGCCTGCCTGCGTGGAGGTGTTGCCTTTGCGCTGCCTGCCTGCCCGCCGGCGTGCCTGCCTACGTGCCCGTGCCCATGGCGCCGACCGTGTGGTCGTGTGTCCTGCCGCCACCTGCCCTGCCTGCCCCGGCTGCTGCGGCGTGTGCAGGTGCAGTTCTATGTGCATGGCCTCGGCCTGGATCCTTCCGAGCGGCGCTTCCGCCTGACGGCCGCCCTTGTGATGGAGGCAGCGTTGCTGCTGCTGCTGGGTTCAGAGTACCGCAAGTAAGCTTCAGAGGGCTTGCAGCGGTACCACCTGCAGTGGTATCGATGCCTTCCAAGCGTCTTGCGCTTGCTGCTGCTGCTGGCCCCGGGCCCCTGCGTGGCTGCTGTTTCTTGCCTGCCGCGCCTCGCGCGCGCTTCCCCGTGCCGCTGCCCTGAGCTGCCCATCTGACCCTTGCTTGCCGCCGCGCCTGGCGCCGCTGTCCCGCCTGGTTTGCCTGGTGCAGGCCGGGCCCCAGCTCTGCTGAGGAGGATCTGGAGCGCGAGGCGCTGCTGGGGGGCGGGGAGGAGGAGGATGTGGAGCAGGGGAAGAAGAAGCGCAAGCACAGCTGGGTGTCGCTGGTGGGGATCGCCGCCAAATACATGTGGCCGACCGACAGCCTGGCGCTGCAGGTGGGTGGGGCGGGGTGCGGGGTGGTGTGCATTGGTGCTTGTCATGCATGCGGGTGGCTGGGATGGAAGCATGTATGTGTGTGGCGATGTGTATGGGAGGTCGAATCTTGTCTAGAGGCAGCTGGGTGGGGGCAGAGATGCTGTGCGCCTGTTGCTCCCCACAAGCCCAAGCCGTCCCGCTGCTCCCTCCTCCCCTCCCTCGCCTCCCCACGCTGCTGCAGATCCGCGCCTGGGTGTGCGTGCTGCTGATCGTGATGCTGCGCCTGCTCAATCTGGCGGTACCAATCCTGTACAAGAAGGTGCGGGTGGCGGTGCAGGTGGTGGTACCGCTTGCGGACCTGTTGCTAGCGAGCTTGGCAGCCCGTCTGAGAGATGGCACTGCCACCTGGCTCCGTGCACCACCACCTCCACCGCCCGTGTGCCGGCCCCCGCCTGTACTGCACTGTGCCGCCCACATGTACTGCCTGCCTGAACCGCAGGTGGTGGATGAGTTCTCGTACGCCTCTGCCCGCACCCACCCCACCCAGGGCGCCCCCACCACCTTCAAGTTTGGAGAGGTGCGCCGCCGCCACCAGCCGGCGATGCCACGCACACACTCCGGATGCCGCAGGGCCTCCCTGCCCTGGCCTTTGGGCATGCGCTGACAACCCACTCCCTCCTTTCCACCCCTCCTCCCTGCCCTCACCGGTTCCGGCGGCACTGTTGTGTCGCCTGCCCTCCTTCCCTCCTGTCCTCTCTCCCTCCCTCTGCTGCTACCCTGCACATCTTCCCGCCCGGTCGCCGGCCTGCTGCCTGCACTGACCGTCCACCTTGCTCCTCCCCTCCCTCCTTTCCTCCTCCCTCCCTCCTTTCCTCCCCGCAGGTCTTCCTGCCCTGGGTGCTGGCCTACATGGTCGCCTACTTCTTCCAGGGCGGCTCCGGCGGCGGCGCCGTGGGCCTCGTCTCCAACCTGCGCTCCTACCTGTGGATCCCCATCAGCCAGAACTCGTACAGGTGCGGCTGGGTGGGTGGAGGACCTGGGGGTGCTGGGGGTGCTGGGGGTGCTGGGGGCCGGGTCACACGGTGTGTGCATGTGTCAGGGGGCTCGTGGGAGGGGTGGCGAGGCATGGGTGTGGGGAGTCCTTTGGTGAACTCCCAGCCCGGCCCTTGGCTCCCTCCTGCCCTCCCCCACTGCTCCCCTCACCTCCCTTCACCACTGCTCCCCTCCCTCCCACCCTGTGTTTTCCTCCTTCCCTCCCGCCCTGTCTTTTCCTCCTTCCCTCCCACCGTTTGTTTCCCCCCCTTCCCTCCCACCCTTCCTTTTCCTCCTTTCCTCCTGTTCCAAGGCTTTCTTTTCCTCCTTCCCTCCCGCCCCCCCCCGCAGGCGCGCCACCCTGGACATCTTCTCCCACGTGCTGGGCATGGACCTCAACTTTCACCTGCACCGCAAGACCGGGGAGCTGCTGCGCGTGATGGACAGGGGTGGGTGGGCGGTGCGTGTGTGTGTGTGTGTGTTTCTCATGGCCAGCGGAGGGTTGGCGGGGCGCGTGTGTGTGTTTCTGATGGCCAGCGGCAGGTGTGGGGGCGCGTGTCAGTGGGAGAAGTGTGTGTTGGTGATGGCCGGGGACGGGTTGGTGGCGGGTGTCGGGCGGGCTGCGGCGCGGTTGGCGGGGAGCCCTGCTTCCGCTTTCGCTGGGGTCGTCACTGGCCCTCGCTCCCGAGGGGCCGACCCGCTCCCCACCTCCCGCAACCCCCTAGCCCTGCCTTCCCGCCCCTCTTTCCCTCACCTGGCTCCGCCCTGCTTTCCTGCCCCACCCGCGCAGGCACCAGCTCCATCCAGACCATGCTGTCAACCGTCGTGTTCCAGATCGGCCCCGCCATCTTCGACATCGCCGCCGCCTCCGTCTACATCGCCCTCAAGCTGCAGCCCTGGATCGCAGTCATCGTGTTTGTCACGCTGAGGTGCGCGGGCGGCGGCGCGGCGTGCACGGTGTTGGAGCGCCGGTCGTCGGCCGGCGCCGGCGGCAGCCTGGTTAGATGCGTTGCGGTGGCGGCGTGGTGTGTGGCCAGGGCGGGTGTGGGAGGCGGGGCGTGAGCCAGCCGGCTGGTTGGCCGGCGTCTTCGGCAGCCTGGAGAGCTCAGCGCTGCTAGCAGGGTGACCTGTCGCCGTCCTCCACCATTTGGTATCATTACACTGCTTGTTTTGAGTACAGCTCCACTCACGCCCTCCCGCCTGCCCCTGCAGCGGCTACATCCCCATGACCATCTACCTCACCGAGTGGCGAGGAAAGTACCGGCGGGAGCTCAACCGCCTGGACAACGCCAAGGCGCGCCGCGCTTTGCCCGCTGTGCCGCGCTGCTATGCTTTGCCTGCTGCGCTGTGCTGCGCTGCGCTGCGCTGCGTTTCTGCACTCTGCCTGGCTGTGATGTGATGTGATGTGTGCTGTGCGGTACGGTGCGGTGCCGCCACGCCTCGCGTGCCCTGCCACGAGAACGGGCGGGCGCCGTCGTGCAAGGCGATGCAGCCGCTCATGCATCGGCACCTGTGCCCGGGTGCCACGGCGAAGCGTGTTGTGATGTGCGAGGATGCTGCGTCCTGCTGCAGGGCGCCAAGGCCACGGACGCGCTGCTCAACTACGAAACCGTCAAGCTGTTCAACAATGAGGCGCTGGAGCGGCACAATTTTGCGGCGGTGAGGCCTACCGGGCTGCATTGCATGCGCAGGGCCCAGGCTGGCGTGACGGGCCGTGAGGGAGCGCTCGTTGGCGTGCATGGGTGTGCGTGTCTATGTGTGTGCCACGTGCAGAGCGTTGGGCCCAGGGCATTCCCCTGGTGCGGCCGAGAGCCTCAGGAGTGCACGCCTGTGCCCCTGCCCCGCAGGCCATCGACGCCTACCAAGTGGAGGATTACAAGCTGTCGTGAGTTGTACCGCCACCGTACTGCCACTGTACTGCTGTGTTAACCTCACTTGCCTGCCTGCTCCACCTGCTCCCGCTCCCACTTCCTCACCATCAGAGCCGCCTGCCTCCTCCCAGCTTCCGCCTGCCCGCCCGCCTCACCTGCCTGCCTGCCTGCCTGCCCCCCGGCCTGCCCGACCCGCCTGCCTCCCTCTGGCTTCTGCCTGCCCGCCCACCCCACCTGCTCCCCTGCCTGCCCGGCCCGCCTGCAGCGCCAGCATGAACGTGCTGAATGTGGCGCAGAGCGTGGTCATCTATACCGGCATGGCAGCAGGCCTGCTGGTGTGCACACAGGCGAGCTGACCCCCATGCACCGCACAGCGCAAGCCCTTTGGCACAGTTGGCAGCAGCCCGGGGCGCATGTGCCGCCGTGCGCGTGGCGCCCTTGTGCACAGCTGCTCAACGGGTGGTTGGGAACCCTTTGCTTACTGTGCCCTTCGCGCGAGGCCCGTGCACCCAGCTGTCCAACCGCCGGTGCTTTGCTACCGCCTGCAGGGCATCGCCAACGGCTCGCTGACCGTGGGCGACGCGGTGCTGTTCGTGACGCTGATGCAGCAGCTGTACGGCCCGCTCAACTTCTTTGGCACCTGTGAGCTGGCGGCTGTACTGCTCTCGTACCGCACCCACCGCCCTAAGGCGGCCCGCCGTGCTTGCTTTGTGGGGTGCTTCCTGTGCCCCGTGCTCACATGTACTGCCTGCCTGTACCGCATGTACCGCCCACCCGTACTGCAGACTACCGCATGATCCAGCAGGCCATGCTCGACATGGAGGTGGGCGGCCGCCTGGCTGTGTGTGTGCGCTTTGGCAGACCGCTGCTCCCCGCTCTTGTCGCTTCCTGCCCTCTGGTGGTCAATGCGAGTCGCCACCCTCACCTTCCCCCTCCCCCCCCCCCACACACACACTCACACATACGTGTACCGCGGTGTACTGCCTCACTTCCCCCCTCCCCTGCAGAACATGTTTGAGCTGCTGGGGCAGCACCCGGCGCTGGCAGACAAGCCGGGGGCCACGGCGCTGGTACCGCAGGGCCAGACCATCGGCTTCCACGACGTCTGCTTCCAGGTGTGCTGTGCGGGAGAGGGGTGCGGCAAGGGGAGGGAAGTGCTGCCCTGTGGGCAGTGGGTGCGAGGGGCAAGGGGTGTGGTGAGGAAGAGAGTGACTGTAAGCAGAAGATTAGCTGCAGGCCTGCACGGCTTGCGGAGCGCTGCGTGGATTGGGAGGAGGCCGGCGGGCCTGCCCCCACCGGCGCTCTGCTGCCCACTAGGCTGCCCGCCGAGCCACTGACACCCACCTGCTGCTGCCCTGCCCTCCTCCCGGGCGCCGCCGCCGCCTCCCCCCGCCTGGTCCCGCCTGCAGTACAGCGACGGCGCCCCGGTACTGCGCAACGTGTCCTTCACCGTCCCCGGCGGCAGCACCGTGGCCCTGGTGGGCGCCACCGGCAGCGGCAAGTCCACCATCCTGCGCCTGCTGTTCAGGTACGGCCTCAGGGCGTGCAGTGGGCAGCAGCAGCAGCGGCAGCAGCAGCAGGAGGGGCAAGACGGACAGCAGCAGCGGCAGGAGGGACAGCAGCGGCAGCAGCAGCAGCGGCAGCGCGTGCCGTGGCGTGCAGGCGAGGTTGGTGGGCCGGGGTTCCGCCTCCGCCGCGCGCTGGCGCACAGTCCCGCTCCCGGCGGCCGGCAGCCGGCGTGCCTTCACGCCTTGCTGCCCCTGCGCCCCTCGCCGCCTGAGCAGGTTCTACGACCCCCAGAGCGGTGCTGTGGTCATCGACAGCCAGAACATCGCTGATGTGACGCAGGATTCGCTGCGCTCCATCATTGGGGTGGTGCCGCAGGACACGGTGCGCCTGCCGTGGTTGTGGTGCTGTTGTGTGCTTGTGGTGTGTGGTGGTGGTGTGGTGTGGTATGTGGTGGTATGTGGTGGCGTGTGGCGGCTGTGGCGCCGCAGCCGGCCGAATGACGTCCCGCTCGCCAGGCTCGCCTGGCTCCCCGGGCGCCCGCCTTGCTCCGCGCTCTCTGCATGCCGCTCTTCCTGCTTGGCCATGGTCACGACTGCCCCCTTCTGTGCCCGCCTCCTGCCGCCACTGCTGCCCGACACAAAGCCTTAACCGCCTGCCTGCCTGCCTCCTGCCGCCACTGCAGGTACTGTTCAACGACACCATCCGGTACAACATCAAGTACGCCAAGCCGCACGCCACGGACGAGGAGGTGAGCGGGCACCCCTGGGCCGCCCATGCCCTTGGTGGTGGTGGGCCAGCCGGCCATAGGCCATGCAGGCCGGCCACCAGCGGGCTGGGGCGACCTGCATGGCCTGGTGCAGCGAGGCGCCCTGCGGCGCTGTTCCATAGTGCTGTCTGTGGCGCTGACGCCCGCCAGCGAGGGAGGAAGAGGCCTGCTGCCTACCTGTGCGCCCCCTGTCCACGCTGCCGTGTACTGCCTTGCTGCCACCCTTGTCGTCCCCCGCTCCGCGCAGGTGGTGGAGGCTGCGGAGGCGGCCTGCATCCATGACACCATAGTCAATCGCTTCCCGCTGAAGTACGACACGGTGGTGGGGGAGCGCGGCCTGCGCCTCAGGTGGGGCGACCGCCAGCGGGGGTTGTGGATGCTAGTGGTGGCGGCGGGGGGGTGGTCGCCAGCCACGCGGGCGCCTGCTCATGCTGGGTGGAGGCAGACCGGCTCGACGCACGACGCCCCTTTGGCCCACCTGCTCGCCAACACCACCAACCACGCAACAAGACACCCACCCACGCCGCTCGTGCCTCGTCCTCTCCCCACCCGCAGCGGCGGCGAGAAGCAGCGGGTGGCCTTTGCGCGGGCCATCCTCAAGAACCCGCCCATCCTCATACTGGACGAAGCCACCTCGGCCCTGGACTCCATTACCGAGAAGAGGATCCAGGTCTGCTGGTCTGGGTCTGTTTCAGCGGGTCTGCTTTAGCGGGCTGGTTGGGAGGCTGCCTCGCCGCCTGCCCGTCGCCCTGCTCCCTCCGCTGGCCTTGCCACCCACGCCCACGCCCTGGCCCGCTGCCCCCTCCCGCCCGCCCTGCACGCAGGCCTCGCTGGCGGAGCGGCGCAACGACCGCACCGTACTGATTGTGGCGCACAGGCTGAGCACCATCATGGACGCAGACCTGATCATCGTGCTCAAAGAGGGGCAGGTGCGTGGCCTGGGCATGGCTGCGCGGGCAGGGCATCTTGGCATGGGGATGGCGGGGGTACGTTCGTGCTTGGAGGCGCCACGACAGCGGTGGCAGTGGCGCCCGCAGGACCCAGAGGGCGGCCTTGCGCTGCGCTGCCGCTGCCGTCCTGCCCCCGGCCTGCTGCTCCGCGCCTGCCTCCACCCGCCGTCTGCTGCCTGCCGCCTGCCTGGCTTGCAGGTTGCGGAGCAGGGCAAGCATGCGGAGCTGGTTGAGCGGGGGGGGCTGTATGCGGAGCTGTGGCAGCGCCAGCAGGAGTCTGCCACCGGCGCCAGCTCAGCGGGGCCCTCCTCCCGCCCCGCCTCCCGCCCCGCCTCCATGCTGTCGCTGGCGCAGCTGGCGGGCACGGCGGGGGATGCCACGCCGCCCCTGCCGCCCGGCGCGCATGACTGAGCAGCCCGCGGCGCGCAGCGCTGCCGGCACTCACCATTGTTTGGGCACCGATTTTGCGGCTGCCTCTCCGTACGATCACAAATGGTATGTAGCCACCCGCTGCCCCACCTGTTTTGTCCCTTGTTGGTTTGCCGCACATCGCTGTCCATCCCGTCCCAGACTGTCACTCTTCCGCTTCTGAGCCACAGGATGTACAAGGACCGGCTGTGTTGTGCTGGGCGGCATGCATGCATGCATGGAACAGATGCACTGCCCCTGAGATGAGCCTGGCTGTGAGGTTGGCAGATACCCAAGCAAGCAGGGCAAGGGAGGGGAGTCGGCAAGGAAACAAGCAGGCGAGGGAGGAGGTCGTGGCTAGGTCGTGGCTTTGGGAGGAGGCTGTGGGCTGTCGGGGGTGCAAACGAACGATGTGGAGCGATGTAAGGTATCGCAGTTCATTGAAGGAAAGGAAGAGGCTCATAAAGGGTCGGGGCAGGGCATTCATGTGTGGGGGACGGGACAGAGCAAGGAACGAATCATGGGGCGTGGCTGGCAAGGAAGCAGTACAGATCAGATTCGAGGCACGTGGCGGCGATCCAAGGGGGGGCGAGAGACAGCTATGGTTGGGGGGCCTGCACAGCAGGCATTCCATTGACGGGAGTGAGAAAGGGAAGCCGCGATGAATACATCAGCCGGGGTGCAAGGCAGGGGGCTTGTGCTGGCTTGCCGGGTGTCGGGTCGGGCTTGCTACCCTTGGCCGCCTTGGCTGCTGGTGTCGGCGCTGGCGGCAGCGTTGGCAGTTGCAGTGGCAGCCTGCTGCCCGCTGCTGTTGCTGCCGCCCTGAAACGGCGGCTCCACCCCAGCCTGCCGGTAGCTTTGAGTCAGCGCGGTAACAACCTGCTGTGTGGTGGACTGCCCCCCAGGGTTGGTGGTGCCGCCTGGTGAGGTAGTGGTGCCGCTGCCGCCGCCAGTGCTGGTGCCGGCAGTGGCGGAAGCGCTTGCGATGCTGCAGCGGGTTAAAATAGGTGTTGGGAAACCGGCGACAGACCGCGGGGCTCGCGGCAGCGGACTGGTGCGCTCAGAAAAGCACACAGGGGGCTGGCGGCAGCGAGCAGATGCTCACCTGCTCACGATGGCTGCGCTGCTCATGCCCACCGCTGGGCTCGTGCCGACGGTGGCCCAGCTGCCTCCGCACCCGCAGGTCTGCACGATGCGGGGGCCATCTACGAACGCCGTGAGGCTGGGGTTGTCTTGCGCGCTGCACGGCAAGGAGCGGCGGGGGCAGGGCACGGGTGTGAGGTGCCAGACCTCGGCAGGGACGCTCTTCGCTGGCTGCTTCCGCAGGTTTGCAGCACAGGCCACACTGCATAGCTGATGCAGCACGGAAGGGAGTTCTGCGGGAGGGCTTGCTCACCAGAGGCAGGCCGTCCAGAGCTGCCACTTGGATTCGTTGATGGGCATGTTGGGGCAGCAGGTGGCGGGGGCGAAGCCGAGGCGGGTGCAGTACTGCACCACCGCTCGAAGCAGCGTGTCCTTCTCGCTCTGCGCCCCCTGCCCGCAGGTGGTCTCGGCTGCGTCAGTGGCGGGGCAGGTGCACGTCTGCTGCAGCAGCGCCCGCGCTGGGCTCTGCAGCTGGCGCCGGCCGCCAGCGGCCGCCGCGGCCGCCGCCGCCGCCGCTCCGCCTGTGCGCCCTGTGCGCGCTGCCTCGGCCCCTGCTCGGCAGCCTGCCAGCAGCAGGACTGCCAGAACGAGGACCGCGGGTGTTCCCCCTCCAGCAGGCCGCGGAGCAGGCCGTCCGACACCGTTGGGGGCCATTCTGTGACTGGCTGGCTGTGAACGGCTGCAGGGGCTGGTGGGCGCAACCTAGTCACCCGGCCCAGCTGCTGTTGGGGAACGCGTTGTGCCAACTTCGCTCCTCTGCGCTCGCAGGGGCTTGCAGGGAGCGGAAAACTGCCGCAGATCACGCAAGCAGCAACACAGGGTGGCCGACGCCTGCAGCAGCCGAGGGAAGCAGCCAGGGTGGAGGAAGAAAGTGTGCTGATGGAGCCACTGCTCTGCCCCCATGCAGGCGCTAAACTATGTGCTCTGGCGTTCACGCTGCACGAGGAGACGAGCTACAGTGAATTTGCAGCCGCCAGCAGCCGCACTCGCCCCGCGTCGTGGCTGACGAGGCTCGGGTTTAAGCGCTCGTCTGCTCCCAGCAGCGTGAGCAGAGCAGGCAGGCCGAATCCCAGGCGCCCAGCATGCTGGCAGCCGGCCCAGCCTGAGCACCAGGAGACCGTGGGAGCACTTCGCAGCAGCAGTCGGACCAGCCCCTGGCATCCAGCACTCAGCGTGCCCGCGCTGCACTCTGGCAGCAAGCAGAGGCGGTGACGCGAGGCCATGCGGCACCCAGCTGCCTCCGAGGCGGCCGCTTGTTCGGCGGCGCTCACGCTCGCCTTGCCGCTGCTGCTGTTCCTGCTGCTGTGTGCAAGCCAGCTGGCCGCTGCACAGCAGCAGCAGGCGCAGCAGGTGCAGCCGCAGCAGGACGTCGCAGCGCAGTGCCCCTTGGCGGTGCGCTACGAAGTGAGCCTGGGGCAGGGGCAGAGCGCCACGCCTCAGGTGCCCATCTTTTTGGCTTCGCTGGGGCTGCAAAACAACGCAAACGTGAGTGCTTGTGGTTGTGGTTCCCTGTTCTGGGCCTGCCTGCCACAGCAGTGGTGTCTGCGGGCTGCGGGTGCCTGCCCGCCTCCTTGCCAGGCTGGCGGCGTGGTGGGTGCCGACCATGTGCCGCCGTAGTGGCAACCCATGCCCTGCTCGACTCTCCTTCTCCCTGTCGCACCTGCCTGCCTGCCCTGCAGTACTCGATTGAGGACTGGCGCCTGGGCTGGAGCTTCCCCTTCGGCTCGGTCATCAAGGCGCAGCAGGCGAGAGAGAGCGGACGGCGGGTCTGACTGTAACTAGAGGGCTTGCGCAAGCCAGGCCTGCAAGGCCCGCGCTTGGGGTGCCGCCTCCCGAGTGACATGTTGCGTTCTTTTCCTCGGCCCTGCTAAGTGGCCCTTGTCCAGCTGCTGCTGCACTGCAATGCTGTCGCTCGGCCCGCCCTGCCGCTGAACAGCTAGCACCAGCAACACCCGACCTTCCTTCCTTCCATCAACACACACCCTCCTGCGCTCTGCTGCAGGACATCTTCGATCCCTCCATCGCCCTGCTCACCCCCGACTCGGTGCATGCCGTGCTGGAAAGCGAGCCGGGGGCCAACCGCACCGTCATCCCGCCCCACAGCGAGCTGCTCTTCAACTTCCTGGGCACCAAGGGCTCAGGTGTGCTGGGGCACAGGGGGCGCGGGCGTGGGATGGAAGAGCCAGCCTGGCCGCGAAAGTGCTGCTTTGTTTTTTGCTTTTTGTGCTTGCACCTGCTTATCCGCAGAGGAACTTGCGACACCGGTGCTGGCTGTTGGCGGCTGCCCCGCGGCATGGCGTAACTCACACCTGCGTGCCCTCCCTGCTGAGTGTCTTGCCTTGCCTGACCCGCGCACAGGCCAGCTCAGCCCCAGCAACCCTTACAACGTCGGCGCCCTGGAAAACGTGGCGTTCAACAACCTGCGGTGCACCTGGGTGCCCGCGCCGGCCGTCACGCCGTCGCCCGCGCCCAAGCCCAAGCCGGTCGAAGGGCCCGCGCCCGGCGGCAACGTCACGGCTGCGCCTGCCAAGGACCTGCAGGTGTGGCTCTCTTGCGCTGGAGCAGCCTGGCCGTGGCAGCTATGCTGCATGCACGAGAATGCACCCGAATGGCTGCCTCGAGGAGCCTTGCGGATCGAGCTTAAGCTCCTGTCTAACCTGCCCTGCCGGTGTGCGCCTGCGTCCCTGCCCTTTTTGGCAGGTGGAGTACACTCCCATCGAGTATGTGGGGCAGGAGATCGTGGGCACATTCACTCAGTTCCTGGTCAGGTGCGCTCAATTCAAAGGGCAGGAGGACAGCCTCGGCCCTGAGGCAAGCAGGCAGGCAGGGTGCTGGGCTGGGCCAGGCCTTTCCATCCACGGCGTGCGCCGTGGCGCCCCCGGCTCACCTGCTGAGCGCCCGCTGCCGCTGCCGCTGCCGCGCTCCACCACCCGGCCTGCCGCCCCCGCAGGCTGCGCAACCTGCGCAACACCACGGCCATCAACATGTCGGGGCTGGGCCTGCAGTACTGGTTCGAGGGCCCGCTGGACGGCGCCCCGCTGTTTGCTGACTTCAGCCCGCAGCAGTTCTTCACGGTGCAGTGCGAGTGGGCCACCACGGGTGAGGCTTAGGCTCCTCCTCCCCCGGCGCAGGCCCCTCCGGTGGCACCGGTGCCACATGCTGTGGCGGGCGTTCCCATGCCAAGCCCCCACAGCCGCGTCGTCCCGCCTGCAACCTTGTCTCCAACCGCTGCCCCCCTGGCGCCTGCCCTGCCTGCAGGCTGCGACAGCCTCAGCATCGAGGTGCAGCCCGGGATGGACACCGTGCCGGGCGCCGCCTTCCTGCTGAACATCACCCTCAACTCAAAGGCCGGCATGCTGCTGCCCAACAGCGAGAACTCCGTGCCCTCGTTCTTCCTGGGCAAGTGAGTACCGTTAATGCCAGGCTGGCGCAGAGAGCTGAGTGGCAGCCGGGGCTGGGCATGCCTGGTGGCTCTTTGCCTGTGGGTTATGAGCCAGCCGCGCCGCGCAGCAGGAGGGTCCCTGCCCTGCACCCCCTCAGCCCAGCCCAGCATCTGAACCTGCTGCCCCCGTCACCTCCCACCGCCCCGTGCCTGCCTGCAGGGGCATCGTGGTGATGGACCTGCTGGTCACGCTGACCACCAAGCAGGGCCAGGCGATGCTGAACGCCACGCAGGCAGGCGCAGGGCGCGGATGGCTGGCGGCGGTTGCATGCCTGCCCAGCCGCTTGCGCACCTGCTGTCGCCAGCATGCCTTGCCATGTGGCTGCTCCCCTCCAAGCACAGCTCCCCTCCAAGCACAGCGATATACCGCAACCACCACGTTCTACTCACACACACACGTCCTTGCCCTCCTGCTTCCCACCTGTCCCACAGGACTACTCCTTCCTAGATACCCCGCAGCTGCCTGTGGAGTCGGCCAATGCCACCATCATCCCCCGCCTCGCCCTCCCCAACTCCCACATCCCCGCCTACCTAAACGGCACCCTGCTGTGGGGCGCCCCGCCATCCCCGCTGGCTGCCGCGCCACAGGCCGAGGTGGCGGAAGCGGCGGCAGCGGCAGTGGACGGCGCCGCAGCGGCAATGGCGGCAACAGAGGACTTGGGGCTGCCGGCGGGGGTGACCTGCGAGCAGACCAAGGACGGGCAGGGCCAGACGTGTGGGTGAGTCAGGGATATGGTGGGTGGCCGGGGTGCCCCCTGCTGCTGGCTCAAGAGGGAGGCTGCAAGCAAAGCATGACTGCTCGACGGCTGCGTCAGCGGGAAGCGGGAGGAGCAGCGCGGCAGCTCCTCCTTCTGACAAACGACTTCCTGCGCGACCTGCCCCTTTCTTGCAGGCTGGTGGTGGTGTACTGCTGCGAGGGCGAGGAGGAGCTCTCTCCCTTTATCCCCGAGGAATGGCCGCCGGCCCTTGCGTCTGCACCAACGGGCGAGCCGGCCGCCGAGCCCCTGGCACTGCCTCCGCCTGGCTCCCGCACTCCACCGCCTCCCAGCCCCAGCAGCCCCGCGCCGGCGCCAGGTGAGGCGGGGCCTGCCACGGTTACCACCATCTTCCTGAAAACAAAAAATGGAGCTGGCCCGATGGGTTTGTCCTGGGCAGGCTCCTGAGCAGGCTGCTGGACCCGATGCCAGCTGCTGTGGCAGTGTGGCTGCCTGCAGGAGGGCCCCCCTCCACCTCACCTTCCACCACAGCCGTGGACGGCGCCACCAGCCCCAGCAGCAGTCCCAGCAAGAAGAGCAGCAGCGCCGGCATGGTGGCCGGCATCGCGGCGGGGGTGGCGGTGGCGGCGCTGGCGGCGGGCGCCGCTTTCTTCCTGGTGCGCCGCCGCCGGCGGCGGCGGCTGCAGCAGGCCGGCTCGGCCAAGCTGCTGCTGGCCGGGCCGCAGCAGGGGGAGCGGGGCTCCGAGGACGGCAAGTCCAGCACGCCCCGCAGCCCCAAGGGGCCACGCCCGCCGCTGTTCCCGCCGGGCGGCGTGCCGCTGGGCAGCGCCTACAAGGCGCCAGCTGGCAGGCAGGGGGTACACCTGGCGGAGGTGCTGGTCAATGGCTCAGGTAGGCGCGCCTCTGCCTGGACGCAAGAGCGGCTGCTTGCATGGTGTGGCACGTGCGCAGGCTGGGCCGCATCCCTCCTGCTGCCGTGCTGTCGGCTGGAGGGCTGCCAGACGTGCCCAGCGCTGGCCCCTACCCCGCTGCGCCCGCAGAGCGCGGCGGTTCCCAGCAGAGCAGCCCCAGCAAGGCGGGCTCGCTGGCGCCGCTGCTGCGCCAGGCCGGGTCTGGCGGCGCCAACGGCGGCCACCACACCAGCAACCTGTTCAAGTTCCCCAGCGGGGTCAGCGCCGTCAGCAGCCACGACAACCCCATATTTGACACGCTCAGCGACGGCGGCTACCCTCCAGGAGCTGCTGCTGGGGGCAGCGCCTCCACCCAGCAGTCGGTGCTGCCGCAGCGCATCGGCAGCTGGGAGCTGCAGTCGCAGGTGGTGACGCAGCAGGCGTTTGCGCAGGCGCAGGCGGCGGGCCTGGCGGCGGCGGCGGCCGCCGCCGCGGCACAGCAGCGGCGGGACGAGGACGACGGCTGGCGGCCAGACGTCCTGGCGCTGATGCATCGCAAGGGGGCCACAGGTGTGGGCTGTGCGGATGTGCTGCTGCACCCCCTGCGCAGGTGCTCATGGTGCACGCAGGTTCATCAAAGCGGTGTGGCAGAGGAGGGAACCCTCGCCTTCACCCTGGCCTGGGATCCCATCTGCGCTGCAGCGCCGGTGCTTCTGGCCGGGCGGCGGGAGCACACGCGGCGGCGGCCCCGCGAGCCCCGCCAGCGCAGCAGCAGCGGCGGCGGCGGCAGCGGCGGCGGCAGCAGCGCGTCGAGCAGCGGCGACGAGAGCGAGGAGAGCGGCGGCGGCGCCCCCGACCTGCCGTCTGACTGGCAGGCGCGGCGCAGCAAGTCGTGGGATGGGCACCTGCAGGACACCAACTCGATGGGGGACTCGCTGCCGCTGGTGGGTTGCTTCCTGGCGTGGCTGGCAGGCCAGGGGGCCTGCCCTCGGGCAGGGCCAGGGCAATGCCGGGGTGCGGCGGGTTGTGCCGGGTGGGTGGCAGAGCGGGTGCTTGGAGCCTGTCCGCCTGCGCCCCAGCTGCCGTCCAGCTACCGATGGTGCCTCCTCGCCTCCCTCCCCCTCCCCTCCCTCCCTGCCTTGGCCAACCGCAGTTCCTGCGCCGCCACCACCGCCGCGGCGGCGCCGGCGACCAGCTGCCGCACGCAATACCGCCCATGGGGGAGCTGGCCCCGCCGGTACTGCCCAGTACCGAGCCAGCCCCGGGCGTGGACCTCAACGTAGACTACGCCACAGAAGTGGCGCCCTTCCTGGGGCGCTGCCTGGTGAGCGGTCTGGGTGGAAAGAGCGGCCTCAGAGCTCTAAGGCTCCCGGGGTGGCTTCATGCGGGCTGCTTGCAGGGCTGCTGGCGCTCCATGGCGTGCCGCTGCGGCTGCCTGCTTGGCAGCGCCGGTTGGCTGAGCTAATTCTTTGCTGATCCTCTCCTGCTTCCTGCTGCAAAACACCTGCCTGCCTGTCCGCCCTCCTGTACCGCCCGTCCCACCCTCCTGTACTGCCTGCCCCGCCTGCAGGGCACCGGCGGCTTCGGCTCGGTCTACGAGGCGACGTGGCGCGGGCGGCGCGTGGCTGTCAAGAAGCTGCCGCTGTTTGGGCCGGACCAGCCCTGCAGCGAGGGCATGTATGCAGCCATGCTGCGGGAGATCGAGCTGGCCTCCAAGTTTTCTTCCGACAGGTGGGAGGCCCAGGGGTGGGGCGGGGCCAGCCCGCCCTGCCTTCAGCTGCGTGCCGGGCAGGCTGCGGCGGGCAGGCTGCTGCGGCGGCAGGCTGTGGCATGTCGATATCGCCTCCTCTTGTTCCCCTGAAACACTTCCTTTGCCGCTCCCCGGCTTCCTCCTCTACCCCTTCCTCTGACCACCGCCTGCCTCCTCCTCCTCCTGCCTGCCTCCCCCGCCGCCTCCCCTCTCTTCTCGCCAGGCTGGTCCAGGTGTATGGCGCCTGTACCGCCGACCGCGAGCATGTGTGCCTGATCATGGAACTCATGGAGGGCGGCTCCCTGCACCAGCGCATCTACGACCGCTGCAAGCGGCGCATGGGATACCTCGAGATACTGCAGGTGTGGGCCGGGCTGTACCACCGCGGGCGGCCGCGCGTCAAGGGAAGCGCACGGGCAGCAAGAGGGGGCATGAGAGGCGATTGGCAGAGAAGGGAGGCGCAGACGGGGTGAAGCCTCCCGGCATGGCTCCCTGCAACCCCTCAGCTCCTCTCCACTCCCTCTGCCCCTTGCTCGCCCCGCTGCCCCACCCTCCCTCCCCTGCTTGCCCCCCACTTTCCCCGCCCCACCCTCCTCCCCTGCTTGCCCCTCTCTCTCTCTCTCACACACACACACACACAACCCTCCCTCCCTCCCTCCCTCCCCTCTACAGCTGGCCCATGACATGGCCGCGGGCCTGGCCTACCTGCACCCCTCTGTGGTGCACCGCGACCTCAAGCCGCAGAACGTGCTGCTGGATGGGGAGGGGCGCGCCAAGCTGGCGGACTTTGGCATCAGCCGGGTGAGCCTATGTGTGTGGGGGTGGGGTGGGGTGGGCACACTGAGAGCCAGCAGCTGGGCTGGCAAAGAGCCAGCACCTGGGCAGTCAGGGAGGCAGGCATGGAGGCAGGCTGGTAGGATGGCAGGCAGGGAGGCAGGCCGTCAGGCTGTGCTGGCGCGGGCCACAGCCCTCCTGCCGCTGCAGGCTGCCGCCGCTCTCCTGCGCCTGCGCCGCCGCCAACTCCCTCAGCCCGCCTGCCCCGCTTCTGGCTGCCCGCAGGTCAAGGACCCCACCAAGAGCTACCTCAGCCAAGTCACCAACGACAACGGAACGGTGAGGCAGGCGGGCAGGCTTTGTAGGCGCCGAGGCGGAGGGAGAAGGGGCTGCGGCAGCGGCCGGAAGCAGCCCAGCAGTGCTGTGCTGCGCTGTGCTGTGCTGGGCTGGGCCCACGCCTCGACCTTCAGCTGCATGCGTGCTCGCACTGTTGACTCTGGGGGAGGCTATCGCTCTACCCTATGGGGTCGAATTCGATCACCCTGTCGCCTGCTGCTTGCCCCCGCGCCCTGCCCCCCGCCTGCAGCCGATGTACATGGCCCCCGAGCAGTTCAACGGCAGCCGGGTGGACGAGAAGGTGGGCGGGCACCTCCGCGCACGCCAGCCAGGCGGCTGCCACACCTGGCTGCTCTGCCCCGCAGCGGCACGCCCCCAAGCGGGCTGCATCTCGCGCCGCGAGCACTAGCTGCCCTGCCCTCGCCGCCGCCACCGCCGTGGTCCCACCCGCTCGCCTGCCTTGCCACCCGCACTCTCCTCCCTCACACTGCCCCCCCTTAAACAGCTTTCCACTCCCACGCTTTCCACTCCCGCGCTTTCCTCCCGCGCTTTCCTCCCACAGGTGGACGTCTACGCCCTCGGCGTCATCCTCAACGAGTGCTACACCCGGCGCCAGCCCTGGCGCGACTCCCAACACTTCTTCCAAATCATACTCAAGGTGCGGCGCCGGGGCGGGCACGCGCCAGGGTGACTGCAGGCTTCAGGGGCAGGGCAGGGGCAGGCGGGGGGCGGCACAAGTGTAACTTGCTAAGCTTGGGTCTGGCCCGGCTGCCTCAGTCTAGTGCCTTTTGCGCGCCTGCCATAGCCGTTTCTGGCTGCAGCTGCCCTTCCATCGCGCCCCTCCACACCTGCCGCCGCCACCACCACCACCACAACATGCACGCCTGCCCACCCGCCGCTGCCGCTGCCGCTGCCAAGCAGGTGGCCATCAACGGGGAGCGGCCGTGGGTGGACCCCGACTGCCCCGAGCCGCTGCGCCGCCTCATCACCAAGTGCTGGCACCAGGACCCACACATGCGACCCTCCTGCGCCGAAATCATGCGCCTGGCCGCCTTCATGATACAGGCAAGGCGCCGGCACTGGGGATTCGGCGGCTGCATGCGCGCGTGCGTGGGGAGGCCGTGGAGATATCGGCAGGCTGGCGTGGAGGGAAGGGATGGCAGGGAGGCGGCGGCGGCCCGAGCAGCTGGCGCGGACTGCCGGCCGGCGCCGGTGCTGCTCCTGCTCTGCTCGTGCTGCTGCTGCTTCAGCCGGCAGTGCAACAGGGCGCTCACCGTAGGCCTGCCCGCCTGCAGGAGGAGGTGCATCGCTGGACCAGCCTGCAGAGCGCCGGCAGCGGCGGCGGCCACCTGCGGCTGCCGTCCGGCGCGCGCGGGCCCGGCGGCGGCTCGGCGCTTGCGTCACGCGCGCCCAGCCAGCTGCCGCCGCACGCGCAGCAGCATCTGGCGACGCCGCAGCCGCCGCAGTCGCAGCAGCAGACGCAGCAGGGGCCTCTGACGCCGCCCCAATAGCCCGCGCCTGCGGCTGCACAGCCGCCGTGCACAGCGCGGCCCGCTGCTTTCACTGCCGCTTTAGCTTTTAGCTAGTCGCTGTGGAGGCGGGCGCTGGGCGGGGTGGCGACAGTGCCCACCCATGCAGCAGCGCAGCACATTGCCCCTCCCGGTGCCCCTGCATGCGTGCACTGCTCTTTCATTCCAAACCGACGCCTACCTGTTCCACCCTGTTCGCACTTTCCTTCTTCTCCTTTCAGCTGCCCTCATCTGCGGGACTTATTGCGGTTTGACCTTCATGACGCAGCGGTGTACGGAACTTGTAACCAACTGCCAGTGGCACAGGAAGGGCAGGGGCTGGGCGCCACAGGCGGCGGCGCCGCTCTGCACGCTGCGCCACCCAGCGCAGCAGGCAGCATGGACTTGCTGCCGCCACCGTGATTTGTCTCCTGTCCTGCTGCCCTGAGCGCCGCTGTCTTGCCAGCTGCCTGCCAGTTATACACTCATGGGCTTGGCCCGCCAAGCAGCGCTCCGCTTCCCGCCTTGCTTTCGTTCCTCCATGCATTCGTGTTTCAAATTGCAACGTGCGGTGCATGCGGGAAATGCAAATGCCAGGTGTGATCTCAGGGTCGCCGGCGGTCCTCTCTCCTGGCCAGCCAGCTCCGAGCTGCCTGCGGGCGTGGGCAGGCTCTGGCCCCCTCCTCGACCCTGTGAGCCGTGCGCTGTGCGCGGCGGGCGCCCGGGCCGGGGCAGCGGCCGGCCGCCGTCACACCAGCTGCCGCCCCTTCAGCCAGCCGTCTGCGGTGGTGCGGTCGTAGGCTGCGCCATCTGCGGGGGGGAGGGGCAAAACATGGCGGGATGGGAACATGAAACTGCAAACGTGCCAGCTGCGCAGGCTGCACTCGTGGACAGCAGCAGCGGCAGCAGGCGGCGCAGCGCCAGCAGGGCGAGGGTCGCAGGGCAGGAGGCGGCACACACGCGGGCGGCAGGGCGGCGGGCCGCGCCTCACCGCTGTCGAGGCTGCTGTGCGCGCTGTGCGGCCCCCAGGCGGCGGCCGCCGCGAACGACAGCTGTTGCTGCTGCTGCTGCTGCGACAGCGGCCCCGGCGCGGGGCCAAACAGGCCCGGCTCGCCGCCGCCGCTGGGCTGGCGGGGGTGCGCAGTGCCGTTGAGCAGCGGCGGCCCGCCCTCCTGCCCAGGCACCTTAGGGCCCTGCGGCTTCAGGGGAGAGCCTCCCGGCAGCAGCTGGCCCAACACGTCCTGCAGGCGGGGAGGAGGCAGCAGGGTGGGGAGGCAGGCAGAGGTGGAGAGGGCGGCGCAAGGCGTGGCAGGGGCGCCGGTGGCCACAGGCGGGACGGCAGCAGACGGCGCAGGGAGCAGGGAGGGGTGGCGGCTCCGCGCCTCTGCACTACTCTCCCCAGCGAGAAAGAGAAAAAAAGTTGCATCCGTGCCACGTCAGCGCCGCCTCAGCCCCTGCCACCTCAGCGCCAGCTCAGCCTCCTCACCGAAAAGTCCGAGCCCTGGCTGTCGCGCAGCCCCGGCACGCCGCCGCCGCCGCCTCCTCCTCCTCCGCTGCCGCCGCCAAAGTCCGCATCTCCCAGCACAAAGCCGGCCACCGCCAGCGGCAGCGCGTGGGCTGCCGCGGGGGAGTCGTCAAACAGAGCCGCCTCCGCCACGGCAAAGGGCAGCAGGCCCAGCCCGTCCTCCTCGCCGGCGGCGGCGGCGCCGCCGCCGGGCGTGGCCGGCGCGCGCGCCTTGCTCAGGATCGCTGCCTCCAGGGCTGATGGGTTGAGGGAGGCCAGCAGGTGTGCTTGCTGCTGGTGCTGGTGCTGGTGCTGGTGCAGGTACAGGGGCGGCAGGTGGGCCTGCTGGGACTGCGCCGCCGCCGCCGCGGCGCCGCCCGCCTGCTGCGCCTGCTGCTGCGCCGCCGCCTGCGGGTGCAGCAGCCCCAGCCCGCCGAAGCCGTAGCCTCCCGGCGGCAGCGCGGGGGGCGGCAGCGGCGGCACGGGCAGGTGCGCGGAGGGGTGGGTGGGCGAGGCGACGCCCGAGGCGGCGCCAGAGGGCGGCGCCGAGGCGGCCGCCGCGGCCGCGGCCGCCGCCGCCGCCGC